AAACAAAATGCTCTCATGCAGTGTAAAACTGCTGCGGACTGTCTTGTCAGTACAACATTAATTAAGCAAACCAAACAACATAATTAGGAGATGAAGATACTGTGTTCGAAAATCAAAGGTATGTAATGAAATTATAATAGCTCTAAATTTGAATTAAAACCGAACGCGTGGTGTGAGGTTTTAAATAAAAAATATAGAGCTAGTATAATTTCATTATATATCTCTGACTTTCCAACACAACATGTCTATCGCCATTCTACCATAACCACTTTATGAAGATTTAAAAAAAATACATACTGTGTTGGAAAATCAGAGGTATATAACGTGATTATTTATATCTGAATGACTTTATTAACCAATCACAATCCAGTGTTTACTGAAGTCATGGTAGAATAATCAATTAATAATTAAAAATATTTATAATGCGCCTTTCCAGTAAACAGAGGCAATTTTGAACAAACTCACTTCGTAGGTGAGACAACTTGTATCACATGTGCTTCTTTGTGGGGCAGGACTGAAGTCCCAGAAACTCTCAGGAGTCAAGATGCCAAACACGGTCACCCATCCAAGGAATCTCTGCACCCATCGTTGCTTAACATCAACTGATTTGTGACCTGAGCTCTATTTGCACAGGACCACACACCACCATATACAGAACAGTATCAAGAGGAAAGTATTTTATTGTGAAATATCATTGAACTGCACAAACAGACTATGACACAATAACTCTTGAAAACTATAAGTACATCTTGCTGGACAGACACTGAGTTATTATTAATTAACAGCTACAAACAGATGCTTAGAAATTTATTTCTTGACTCTGAAGGTGTTGCCTGGTGTCCAAAGCACCAGTTAGGCTTCAGTCTTCAGGGAATACGATTAAATACAACAGACTGAAAACAAAATTAAGTAACAAAAAAAAAATAGAATCCCCGTCCCCATCTCTAAAGTATACAAAATGGTTGTAACCTTATATGTACTTTGCTACTAAGCACTGAGAAATACAGACAGAAAATGGAAATAAAAATTGTGGGAATATTCTAGCTGTCAGAAACACTGGGGAAGGATTCTGGCTCTGATAAACACATGAGCATGAAGCGTTGAGCAGTATAAATAGATACAACTTTGAGTTGAGAAAAGAAGTAGCATTAATATATCAACTGAATATATCAAAAGAACCATAAACTACTGAGAGTGGAGAAAAGCAGCATAAATATAAACTACTGAGAGTGTAGAAAAGCAGCATAAACATAAACTACTGAGAGTGTAGAAAAGCAGCATAAATATAAACTACTGAGAGTGTAGAAAAGCAGCATAAATATAAACTACTGAGAGTGGAGAAAAGCAGCATAAACATACACTACTGAGAGTGGAGAAAAGCAGCATAAACATACACTACTGGGAGTGGAGGAAAGCAGCATAAACATACACTACTGAGAGTGGAGAAAAGCAGCATAAACATAAACTACTTAGAGTGTAGAAAAGCAGCATAAACATAAACTACTGAGAGTGGAGAAAAGCAGCATAAACATACACTACTGAGAGTGGAGAAAAGCAGCATAAACATATACAACTAAGAGTTGAGAAAGGCAGCATAAATATAAACATTTAAGAGTGTAGAGAGAATCAATATAAATTCAACCAACCGAGACTGGAAACAAACATAAAACACTGGAAAGCTCTTGCAGAGAAATTCATTATTCAGGATAAAATTGACTTGTTCATAATAAGTTGTGTAAACTATAAAAATAAAGCAATCCTGACTAAACATACGAGACAAAAGAAGGACAAATGACATGGTCCATGAAGACTTGCTAGGAAAACCAGCAAATATTAATCATACTCACTAAGGTAGATTGAAAATATCTCTAGACAAACTGTTATGTGACTCACTGTGTGACATATAGATTATGTATTTGCAGGTACATGTATTATTCAATCAAAGATTATGCATCACATACCAGTTACAATTTGCCCACAGTAAACACGATCAATTTTCAACAATATCAACTCATCACACAATTTGAAACATTGCTCTGAAATAGTTAGCAACATTATATACCTCAAAAGCCCAATAAAAAAGCAACAACAAAAAAACAAAAACAAAAACAACAAGACAGGAGAAATACCATAAGATCGTATATCCTTTGAGATTAAATAAATCCCCAAAGACTAAAGTTATTACTGAATGTCCAAGTTACAAAATGTTCTCATGTTCTTCACAAGATGGCAGTCATACAAACATAGCCCATTTGTATGTTCAGTTGTCAAGTTGTAACATTTTAGGTGGTGCATTAAAAGTAACTGTAACAGTCTAGTAAATGATTAAATAAACATGGACCTAAATAAACATCAATTATTTAGCACAAATGTTGACACCTCTGTCAGTTAAAAAAGTTGCTACATGGCCAAATGTTTTAGTACTTGCAGGTTTGATCACAGACTACTTTGTGTATCAGAGGAAAATGTGCATGTATTATTGACTTGGAGTGGGGAAAAAGACTTATTGAAATGACTAAAACCATAAAACACTGACAAAAGTCACAGATCTCCACCAAAACAGAGGTAAAAGAGGAACCACAACTCAGTTTTAAAAGATACAGAAAAGCTGTACATTTTCCAATGCATGATTGCCCGTTAAAATATTAAAAGTTTCTGGGTTAGTATGGATATGGGTTTTTGAAAGATCAAACTAAAAGACAGTAGGAAGCTAGGCTTGCGATAGGTCAAACCAAAAAGTCATGTGATAATATAAAAATGGCCATGTTATATTATTTAACCCACATCCTAATCTTGAAGCAATATCCTGAATGTGTCTCTGTCAATCTAAGATGTGAAAAATGAAACATACAACTTTATGGATGACAACATTTTATCGATTGCATATAGCGACATATAGATGTAGATTCTGACACCGTTATCAAGTTAAAAGTGAATACAACCAAATGATGAGAGGTATGTATACATAGTGTGTTTTGACAAACAGCAGATAACATTAACAAGAACATGTAATTGACTGACAACTGGTACATATTTGGGAGAGGCCAGTAGGGGACTAAGAAAAACAAATAAGGCTGGCGATGAAGCCAATAAACAAGTGGCATTAGGTCGTAATAACAAGCTGATAGAGTCTATAGTTTGATTCATTCTTCATAGGTCGATGGTATGTAGTATCCTTGGTCTCGGGTTTGTGGCGGAAGATTTCGATGGCGTCCAGATGTTCTCTTTTCGTGAAGTTGTGATACTTTATTTGATAAGATTTCGAATTTGTCAAACTTGATCAAGTTGATGGTTAGGGAATTTCGGTTGGTGATCTGAGAGGGTTGATTTGCTGTCTGCTTTGGCTGGTTAGGTTTTATGTTCTTTTATGCAGGCATTAACGGGACGGAAGCTTTCACCTATACAGGAGTCACCACATTCACAATTAATCTTGTATATCACTCCTTTGAGGGGTTGCTGTATGTTGGAGGGTAGGATACGGCCGTTGGCTATATGCAATAAATAAGAAGTTATCATCCATAAAGTTTTACATTTCATTTTTGAGATAAGACAATGTGGATGATGCCACAACATGGAATAAAAAACGTAATGTAACGTAATAAAACCATTCAGATCGAGAGTAAAACTATTTACAAACAAATGTCTCCTGATCACATTGTTATCTTTTTAGGTCAACACTCTCTTGGCTTGAACAGGACAGTAGGATTTGAGTACTATTCACAAGCCATCAATATTGATAATAAAGCTACGAGTAAGACCCTGAAGTTTTATGTCCTGAAGAAACATATATTCAACTTTGTAACTTTTTTTCATCAGCAAAATCTTTCAGGGAAAGTTGCATCAGTGTCATAGGAGTGAGTGGGTTTAGTTTTACGCCGCTTTTAGCAATGTTCCAGCCGTATCATGGTGGGAACACCAGAAATGGGCTTGACACATTGCACCAGTGTAAGGAATCGAACCTGGGTCTTCGAACCTAGGCTACTCCACCACCCCCAATGTCATAGGAGGCTCACAGAAAGTTTGGCGTTAAGAAATTTTGGCGGCCATCTTTAAAAAAGGAGAGTTTTGGGGATACTTTACACCATAATTGGATATCATGCACATAACTAGACAGATGGGGGCCAACATGACATGAGATAAAATAAGGTGAAGTGGACTAGAAGTTTCCTTCTATGTTTTCACCTCTCAATTTTATACTGACTGACTGACTGAGTTTAGGTTTTACGCCGCTTTTAGCAATATTCAAGCAACATCACGGCGGGGGACACCAGAAATGGGTTGCACACATTGTACCCATGTGGGGATTCGAACCCGGGTCTTTGGCGTGACGAGCCAACGCTTTAACCAATAGGCTACCCCACCGCCCCTCAATTTTATACGAGTCTGAACTTAGGGCTTCTGTCGAATGAATATGAGAGTTAACAGAGTTAACTGACTCAATTCCAGTTATATTAAGCACTGAATCAGCTGTGACTGAAGATGATTTGACACTGGAGAGAGTAACAGTGAGATGACAACAGATCTAGATAGCAAGCAATAGACAACAGATCCTACAGTCTGACAAGATCAATTCTAAAAGCAGTAGGTATATTTCCTGATTTGACACACTGTACATTAGTATACTCGTTGGCACATGTTAAGACAATCGGAAGGAGGCAACGACTTAAGTACTGTCACGTGTAAACATTAAGAGGTAGCCTATCTGGGATTTCTTGTTCTGACTATACAGACACATTTTATAATACATCACAAGACAAATCAGGCATGATTTAAGATCAGGATTGTGTAAAAACAAAATATCTTTATAAAAATGTGAATGAACTTATGATTCAACTGACAATTTTACAATACTTAATCCTCCATCATAACCTGTTCAGTCCAAACTGTGGGTTGGCTTAGATTGGAAATAATTTGTCCAAATCTCAAATACAAATAATCTATTATGAAAACATAATACAGGATTTTAAGGTGAACATGATATCCGAGTTAAGTGCCATGTTTACCAGGATCTGTTGTGACCTTGAAAGCCATGTTCGGCCATATTGCCACCAAGAAGACTCATGTTATATGATCTCATGTGTCTTTGGTGCAAACAGCCACCAGCCACAATTTATGAGTGAATAATCTTCAAATTGAACCTGTCATTTGACACAACCACGATAGTTCTATAATTAGTCTTCAGTAATAGGTAAATAATTTGATATATATCATGATATATAGTCCCTGATATTTGAGACATATTATGTTTTCAAGTCACCTTTTGTGACCTTCACCTTCAGACAGCCACCTAAAGGTTTAGGCATAATTGTAAAAATTTAAGCTGTAGTGTACACATTGAATTTCACACCTTGACCTTCAATGTCCTCCAATCACGCTAGTAAATGTCCATACAGGTTTGCAGTCCTTGCAATCATAGTTTGGTCAGGTTAAAACATTTTCCACAGATTATTCCCAACACACTATAGCCAGTAAGGCAATAACACATGTAGATTTCATGAAAACGGTCTTACGCTGTAAGAATCTGTCCGTTGAAATGATGGGAGCTTAACGTCAGGTAGGAGTTGTACCTACAGGAGTGGACACTTGTATATGCCGAATTAAACATGCCGAATTAAACAGAACCTATTAAATCAAGAAATTACCTCTGCTAGTTTAAAGCTTTGTCATCATAGATAACAGATTCTTCAGTCAAAGGCTACAGAAGAAGATTTACATATAATTTCTAGAGAAGTTTCACCAATGGCTGGTTTCCATGGTGACACGTCTGCTGTCATTAGCTGCTCTTCTCCTTCTTCAGTAATGCCTTCTCCAACCCCATCATGGGGGACTCGAATGCCAGGGACACGACGAAGGCAGTCATATTGGAGCAGACGAGGAGACCCAGAAACCAGATAACCTGTAATGACATCCACCATTACACACACTTCACCTTTAACAAAGTACACCTGCAACAAACTACAGCTCTAGACACAGTACACCTGCAACAACATATAGCATCACACAGTGAGTGAGTTTAGTTTTACGCCACACTCAGCAATATTCCAGCTATATGGCAGCGGTCTGTAAATAATCGAGTCTGGACCAGACAATCCAGTGATCAACAGCATGAGCATCGATCTGCACAATTGGGAACCCATGACATGTGTCAACCAAGTCAGCGAAACTGACCACCCGATCCCGTTAGTCGCCTCTTACGACAAGATAGTCGCCTTTTTATGGCAAGCACATGGGTTGCTGAAGACCTATTCTACCCCGGATCGTCACGGGTCAGCATCACACAGTACACCTTCAACAACATACAGCATACACATAGTAACTCTGTTGTGTATCCATTGATTATATAATCCGATCCCCATGTCTTCAATATTCCATGAACCATTTACAGATAAAAAACCTATGGTGCATGTACAATAGTGCACCAACGGCAACTTTACTTGTTAACAAAACATTTTATTTAAAAATTTTACAGGTAATTGAACAACTGTAAAAACGTGAAACATATGACAAAGCATTCAAACCGAAACATGAGTCTCATTAACCAATTCCGACAATGACCTACTTTTCAGCCGATCCGAATTCTTTCGTGTGAAAGTGAAAAGAGACACAACAAACAACTATGGTATCTTTTTCTTGTTTCATAAGAAAATGGTTTTTACAAATTGATTTTAATTATAAAGTTTAAAACTATCGTATTTCTATATTTTATGTCGAGGTTTAGGCAGCATGTCATTAACCAAGACGTCACAGACTGCCCCTTTTTGAAGAGGTCGAACAATGATTCACAATTCATCTGGCTCACTGGTTACACCTGTTTTGTGTTCTTTGTGCTAATTAAGTGTATTTTTGTAACCTACAATGTGATTGATGTAATATCAAGTCCGTACCAGACCGCTAAACTGTTCTAGCGGCCCAGCCTCGTTTTGAGATTTCCACTATTTCCTGATTTCCGTTTGTCAGAGCACGCTGTACAACAGAGCACGCTGCACGACGTGTTTGCAAGGATTAGAAGGAGAGTAGTGTTGCAATAAACTAGTGATTAGATGTATCAAATAATTTTGAATAATATTTATATATCCAGTTGAATGATCATGAGTTGGTCTCAAAATTCTGAACTGGTTATTGTTCTAAGGTGCGCATTGGTACGGAACCCAGTCAGCAGGAAACGAGATTGCTGTATAAGCAATGTTTTCACTTGACTTGGCAAGATTTGTTCAATTTTAATTGCATTTGATGGTAGGTATTCACTTGCAAAAATTAAGAATACAAAGGTGTTTTCTTGTGAAGCAAGTCGAGCAAGTTGCCTGATAACTCTGTTAGCATCTACACCGAAGAAGTTATCAATCCTTAAAACTTGGTTTTCTTCACTATAAATAGTTGCGGTGTATACTGGGAGGTGTGGTGTATGCTGGGAGTTGTGCATGCTGGGAGTTGTGGTGTTTGCTGGGAGTTGTGGTGTATGCTAGGAGTTGTGGTGTATGCTGAGAGTTGTGGTATATACTGGGAGTTATACTGTACGCTGAACATACTTACCACATTAAGGTCTGAGAGGTGGAGCAGTGTATGCTGGGAGGAGAAGAAGACGTACATGACGATGGGATGTACAAGATAGGCGCAGTACGTCAGGCGGCCCAGAGGGACGAAAGCAGACCACGACAACAGAGTGTTCACAAAACCTGAAAAACATCCCCATTGTTACAGGGTGTATGATGGAGAAAGTGGACGAATAGAAACACATTGTCAGCTTCTTAACTTGGCTTCTTCTAAACAGCCAACCCAAACATGGCCAAACAGGCAAGTCTACTGACGGAAATGTATAAACACCACTTGACGCACTCTCTCATTGAGTGAGTGAGTGAGTGAGTTACATCTCTTTGTTGGACACAAGGAATGGGCTTTACACATGTTGAGACCATGTTGAAAATCCAACCCAGGTGTTCGGTGTGGAGAGTGCACGCCTTATCCAATCGGCTATCCCGACCCCTTCTATCACTGACGGGCGGTGGGGTAGCCTAGTGGTTAAAGCGTTCGCTCATCACACTCTATCACTGACAGGCGGTGGGGTAGCCTAGTGGTTAAAGCGTTCGCTCATCACACTCTATCACTGACGGGCGGTGGGGTAGCCTAGTGGTTAAAGCGTCGCTCATCACACTCTATCACTGACGGGCGGTGGGGTAGCCTAGTGGTTAAAGCGTTCGCTCATCACCCTCTATCACTGACAGGCGGTGGGGTAGCCTAGTGGTTAAAGCGTTCGCTCATCACGCTCTATCACTGACGGGCGGTGGGGTAGCCTAGTGGTTAAAGCGTCGCTCATCACACTCGATCAGTGACGGGCCATGGGTAGCCTAGTGGTTAAAGCGTCGCTCATCATGCTTTATCACTGACGGGCGGTGGGGTAGCCTAGTGGTTAAAGCGTCGCTCATCACGCTCTATCACTGACGGGCGGTGGGTAGCCTAGTGGTTAAAGCGTCGCTCATCACACTCTATCACTGACGGGCGGTGGGGTAGCCTAGTGGTTAAAGCGTCGCTCATCACACTCTATCACTGACGGGCGGTGGGTAGCCTAGTGGTTAAAGCGTCGCTCATCACGCTCTATCACTGACGGGCGGTGGGGTAGCCTAGTGGTTAAAGCGTCGCTCATCAAACTCTATCACTGACGGGCGGTGGGGTAGCCTAGTGGTTAAAGCGTCGCTCATCACACTCTATCACTGACGGGCGGTGGGGTAGCCTAGTGGTTAAAGCGTCGCTCATCAAACTCTATCACTGACGGGTGGTGGGGTAGCCTAGTGGTTAAAGCGTCGCTCATCACACTCTATCACTGACGGGCGGTGGGTAGCCTAGTGGTTAAAGCGTCGTTCATCACACTCTATCACTGACGGGCGGTGGGGTAGCCTAGTGGTTAAAGCGTCGTTCATCACACTCTATCACTGACGGGCGGTGGGGTAGCCTAGTGGTTAAAGCGTCGCTCATCACACTCTATCACTGACGGGCGGTGGGGTAGCCTAGTGGTTAAAGCGTCGCTCATCACACTCTATCACTGACGGGCGGTGGGGTAGCCTAGTGGTTAAAGCGTCGCTCATCACACTCTATCACTGACGGGCGGTGGGGTAGCCTAGTGGTTAAAGCGTCGCTCATCACACTCTATCACTGACGGGCGGTGGGTAGCCTAGTGGTTAAATCACTGACGCTCATCACGCGTCGTTATCACACTGATCACTGACGGGCGGTGGGTAGCCTAGTGGTTAAAGCGTCGCTCATCACACTCGATCAGTGACGGGCCATGGGTAGCCTAGTGGTTAAAGCGTCGCTCATCATGCTTTATCACTGACGGGCGGTGGGTAGCCTAGTGGTTAAAGCGTCGCTCATCACACTCTATCACTGACGGGCGGTGGGTAGCCTAGTGGTTAAAGCGTCGCTCATCACACTCTATCACTGACGGGCGGTGGGTAGCCTCGTGGTTAAAGCATCGCTCATCACACTCTATCACTGACGGGCGGTGGGGTAGCCTAGTGGTTAAAGCGTCGCTCATCACACTCTATCACTGACAGTAGTTATGTAGTTAGTAGCAAAAAGTGTTCACTGAAGAAGGGAAGAAATTCTGGAAACTTTTTTAATCCAAAAGATATTCCATGGAATGAATGTACAAGCGACCAACACAAGCTGAAGAATCAGGGAACACATTTCATATGCGTGTTGTTTGACTGATTTACAACCTTCTCAAAGCTACACGTTAAGTTCTTGACTATCGCCTTCAATACCGTCAAAATAAAGTTCTTTTGAATACACGGTTATGCAGATTAAAGAGAACTGGGAAACCATTGTGTAATCGTTAAACGGCAAGTTAAGACCATCAACTGTGCTCTAATCAATAACATATGGAGATAATGAATACACTATGGCTTTGTCAAATGTCACATTTGTTATCAAGCTTTAACAGCTGACACTGACAATTTTCAATTTTCACTTGCCAAAGTCGTACATAAGATATGTTGCCCAAAACGACCAGTTGTTGAACAGCATTTTTGTGGAAGTTGCACTGACTGAGTGGGTTAGGTCATGAAGGCGAGAGTGAGGGTTTGAATCCCCAAATGAGACCCGACCCCAAACTTTAACAGAATCTGTATTTTACTGAGAAAGTGTAATTTTACTTGCTACATTATTCATAATAGATTTTCACAGCGCTTTCAGAGATTATGGTCGACATGATGTTTGAATCTCACCTCCGTAACCTGTAGCACATGCGAAGATGACCCAGCACAGACAGGCGCCCCAGACCGACCTATGAACTGCGTTGTAGAATGCTGCGACATCCACGGAGACTGGGTGACCGTTGTTAAAATCATACAGGCCGTACAACACGGCCAGAGCTGACGCTGTTGCTACACACCAGCCCAACAGCACAAGCCACTGAAACAAAACAATATGGCTTTGATGTTTGTGTGTTAAGCCAGGATGTCGATGATGTATAGGAAGCTGTGATACGATAAATAATATTCGTCTGCACATTGAGCTTGAAATATATCATGGTGTTTGTGGCTGGTTTGAGTGAGTGAGCTTAGTTTTAGGCCGCTTTTAGCAATGGTCAAGCAATATCACAGTGGCAGACACTGTGGGGAATCAAACCTGGGTCTTCGGCGTGACGAGCTAACGCTTTAACCACTAGGCTACTCCACCGATCCCCTGGTTTGTTATGAATACACTGAATGATGGCGTGTGGCAGACTATGAATATGCCAGGAATCAATATAATGATCAACATTTAGTTCATAAGACGTCCCCATGGTCCCTAGTATGGTGATCTACCTTCAGTTGTTGGCAATATATAGCCTGTTTTTTACCTTGTATTGTCCTATAGTTAGACTGTTTTAGATTTGATTGCTAGTTTTAAATTCGAATCTGTGATAATCTAGTTATTTTACTGTCCTTCGTTGACAGGTTTTTATAGTTTCCCATTGTTTACTATGCATAAAATTAATTGTTCTCGTCACGATATGGCTGAAATATTGCCGATGTGACGTTAAATTTTAACTCACTCACTCACTCATAAGACGTTAAGTTGAGATATGCATCAGCGACTGGTTGTTAAAAACTTCAGCCAGTTTGGGTCTGTAATACAAACAATCAGACACAGTGGATGTTAAAGCTGAGTAGAATTGGTTACACCACATTTTTAAAGTGCAAGTCTGTTGCTATATGTTCATTCTCTGCTAAATGTGCATGTTATTACATATTCGAAACAAAAACAAAGACTTTCGTCCTGGATAGTTCTACTTATGCCAATCAGTAGCCTGGCATCAGAGGGAATTCATAAAATGATGACCTGTTGTGCTGGGTTAGAGATACTTAACATGCTCATGTCCAACCTAACATGAAACCAAAGACGAGTCAGTAATGGGATGCTACGTCTCTACTTCATCAAATGAGGGGATAGAACTGTGCGAGTGACCTCTCGCCACCCAACAGTCAAACCCATGTCCCACCGTTATTACAAACAGACCATCGTATCAGACAACACTATTCCCCAACTTATGAGCACAAACAATCCTACCTACCTAATGAGTCAAAATATTCTCCACCTTATGAGGTCAAACAATGTTGCCCATCTTCTGCATAGTCTCACTCACCTTATGAACTCAGACTCACCCAACTCATGAATACCAACAGTCTCACCCACCAATATCGGACCACCTCTTCTTTCATTTCAGCAATATTTGTCAGATTTTTCTTATTGACACTTTCCTTCATAAGTCCCAAACATTTTCTATTGGATTTAGGTCAGGGCTATAGCTTGGCAAATCTAATAATGTCATATTTTGGGTCCGAAACCAGGCCTGTGAATGCTTTGAACGATGTTTTTGGTCGTTGTCCTGCTGGAAAATCTAAAAATTTACACAGAACACGTGAGCAGATGGAAGTAAATGTCCCTCGAGAATATCTGTGTACCGCTCACTGTTCATATTCCCTTTAAACACACAAAGGGGCGTTGCCCCTAACACAGATATGCCATCCCACACGTTAAATTTCGGACTGTACTTTGGGCGCTGATACAAAGGTTTTTCAGTTTTTTTGGTCAAGAATTTCAGTGTATTTGGAAACAGCCACACAGAACTTTCATCTGAGAAAATCCCATTGTCCCAGTTAAAATTTCTATGCCGTAAGCACCAGTTCAACCTTCGCTCCTTGTGTTCAGGTTTCATGATGGGTGATGGAATTCCTCGACTTTTCCGCCAACCCATTGCATGCAGCTGAGTTCTAATTGTCTTCTTACAGACAGCCACAGTTCCTCTATCAATCATATCCAGCCTTAAGTTTTCTAAACTTCTTCCTTTGTTTTTAGAAATAAGAATACCAAGCCGCCTCCTTTCACCGACAGTCAATTTTCTGGGCCTACCTGCGCCTCCCTTGTGCTCAATGCCATATCCATTTGCAATATTTTTCAAAACACGATAAACAGTGGACAAAGGGATGCCTGTTCTACTTGAAATGACTTTAGCTGATCTGATGTCCTTGTTATAATACTCTAAAATCAAATTCCTCTCTTAAATCATCCATACTGAGGATCACTGAAAATGTCGTCTGCTAGCAAGTAAACAAAGGGGGATAACTCTTCACAAACTAATGAAAAAGGATTAACGGAGTTGTCTCTCTTGAATGAAACCAAGCACTTGATAGCTGGTCAAGGTTGTTTATACTAGAAATCCAATTAAACATATTCCTAAAATTCTCAATAATTTCTGGTCATACTATATGTTCCAACTATCAGGATAAAGAATGTATAGAATACATGTTTCTAAGATAATATAGTTGATTTATGCAGCATACAATAAGCTGCTTCAGTATACCACACAGATGTTATACCATAGCAACGTACTGTACGTTATATCATAGCTACATGCTGTATGATAAACAATTGGCATATACTGTACCGTTATGTTATACCTCAGCAACAAACTGTAAGATATGTCAAAGCAACATGCTGTATGTTGGGACCACACTGCATGTTGTCATTGCAACATTTTACACAAACTAAAATAGCAACGTAATGTGTTATATCAAAGCAACATACTCTGTATTATGCATAATTGTTTGGTTACAACTTTACTGTTTATCATATCATAGCAACATGGCGATATGATATAAGATGATAACAAACTGTATGTTATACCATACCAACATATTGCATAATGTACCTATGGTATATATGTAAGCGAGTGAGTGAGTGAGTTAGGATTTTAAGTTACATCGGCAATATTTCAGCCATATCGTGACTAAAACAAGTTAGATATTTATAATGATTAAAAAATAAATTATAAACACCTGTCAACGAAGGACAGTAAAACAACTAGATTATCACAGGTATATATTTAAAACTAGTTATTAAATCTAATATACTTTAACTATAGAGGACGATACAATATAAAAACGGGCTATAGATCGCCAACAACTGAAGGTAGATCACCATACTAGGGGCCATTTGGTATATATGTAGTATGGTACTATGTTATAACATAAAGCAAGTAGTAGCCTTTGACACATTACCTTGTTGAGTCTGATCTTGCAGTCCGTTCTGTACAACAGATAGCCGGTTACCATGCCGACGATATATGGCCCCATGCGGCAGTACGGTGTGACGTAGTAGTCATAGAAGTATGCCATGGGGTCACTGGAAAGTGAATAAGTTCATGTATTTAATGTCGTCTTTTGCTTTAAAGTGACCAAGAATGCTAAAAGACATGATTAATAAAAGCAAGATGTTGAAATGTAGACATGCTATCAAAACTTATCAATGATTAAATGAAATATTTGTAGTAAAATATACTACCCATCAAAATATAGACTTACTAGTGTAAATGTAGGCACTTACTTCAGTCAACTGGCCTTAACTAGATTTTGCAAAATATTCCATACTGTTTATAAAGGAACTGTTTACACATGAACACATAAAACAAATTCGTAACGTTGAAAACATTATTGTCATGAGTTCAATAAATAATGAAACTCAGTGGAAATTGACGAATTCTTAAGAAAACTTTACACCCAAACGCAGGTGTTCATATGCACGATATTTGCACATGCTTTTCAGCAATTTGATGCATGATCCTCGTGTAATTCATCTGCATAAGGTTTGCAGTTGGTTCATTCAAGTTAGTGGAGAAATTCATCTTCGATGTAACCATATGTATATGCATAACATAATGTGAATGCTTTAAGTCTAAACTTTTGATGGGTAGTATATGTGTAATTCGAATTCAACCTTGATGGATATGAGCCATTAAGGAGAAGCTTAAAGGGAAACAACTCAGCCTACTCTCCTCCTCCTCCTCCGAAGCCCCCTGTAATTGATGGGGACATGTTGTGTATCCTGGATAACACCCCCTGCCGTGATAAAGACTGCCAAGAGGAACGCCAAGACAGCGATCGTGCCCAGGATGCCAGAACTACATGGAATGAATACTGAGGTAATTATACACAAACACACAGGACTTACTTTCTAAAAACAAAAAGTATATAAACATCCTGAAACGAAAAAATGTATTACTGTCCTGAAATGTTTACATCCGTATTTCAACAATATATCATGAGTATTCAGGGACTACTAGAGCCATATCATGTTATTGTACAAGAACGGCAGAAAAACGACCCAAAATGAGAACAATATATCAATTACACTCAAGGAAAGCAAAAGCTCAATTCCAGCATTAAAATATATACAGCAATGCAACATATGTAGATTCGAAATTTTGTTGCACTTTTTAAAGTCAATATTTTGTTTTTTTCTGGGCATTGTTTACATCATATCTAATGTTCACTCACAAGAACAGCGGCACAAAAATGAGAGGCGACAAGATGTAGAACTGCATGTCATTGGCCAGATACCAGGACCAGCCCATGCACTGAAACAAGGGAGATACATCACAGAGTTTATTTTATAAGAAAAGAATTAGCTTGTTTGTATGCTTACAAAGTAGATTGACCAGTGAATCATCCACAAAAGACGTAATTTTACATTAGAATGTGGCCATCATCAACCTTAATTCGACTCCCTGTGTCATATATCCTGAAGATAAGTCAGGAAGAACCTCCACCTCCCCAGAATCAGCCAGGAAATGACCTGACACAGGTATATCCACAGAATCATCCCAGGCCCTGTTCCCAAGATGTCGGATCATGGACAGGTGATAACCATAGTGCTCCTTCAACCTAATCTACCACAAATTTGTGATTAAATTACCCCGTGGAAATAGTGTAAATTGATGTGTTTATACTTACCATCTCCTTGACATTGACCAGGTTGTTGACATACAGTAAGTTGGTCCACCATGAGTTCCGGCACTGGTTGATCTCAATACCCTGTTGAGGCCACAGAGGGCCGTTACTGATGTAGGGGAAGAGTGGGACGTACACCATCAGCACCAACATGTATGGAGGCGTCAGTCTAAAAAACATACACGTTGTTACTATGGTTTCCATCAAATTAAATGCTACACATCTTGTGTATGAACGGGGGTTATGCTGACAGTGAGTATTAGCAACACACCAACGAAATATAAACCATGTCAGTGATGAGGGCTGACATTTCTAGGTGGTCAATCATCAAAGATATTTCCTTTCATAACAGCCATTGTAGTTGCCTTTAGTCAGCATTGCCGAACAGCACCTCCAAAGACTACCTCTCACAACCATCTTCCCACAAACCACACCACCACAACCACTTGTAAGCTAACAGTCACCTCTCACAACCATCTCTAAAGCTAACAATCACCTCTCACAACCTTCTCCCACATTCCCCTCTCATTATCACCTCCTTAATCACCTCCCACAATGCATCTCCCATAAATACCTTCCTCATTCACCACACAAACACCAAACTCACACAACCACTTCACATAACTATCCGTAAAAGTCAAATCCCACAATCACCACCTAAAAATGACACACACCCCCACCCCCCCCACCCACACACACACACCTCCACAACCACTTCAGACCACACTTCATAACCATTTGACAATCCTCCTCAACGATCAACATCCACAAACACCTCCCACAATTACCGCCATCAATCATCTGTCACAACCACATCCCACAGTCGTCATCCATCCTCCTCATTCGACATCACTCACCTCCAGAACCTGTGGAAGTAGAACATGAACCAGTTGATCTTGCCACCAGACTGCCTCATCTCTTTCAGTACCAGGAATGTCACTAGCAGCCCACTGGAACATACATGAACAGTGTGGTGACCAGGCAACCATCGGGTTAACAGGCCACATGATACCAGGCACAGACAATACATGTTACATGGTGATGATGTGACCAACATATTTTCATGTCATGTTACATAAATAACATAATTTCATGGTATGTCACTCAGCCGACAAGTGGTACTGTCATGTCACTTGTCATAGAAAAGAAATATAGTTGCGGGCAACGATGAGGTCTCCTTGGCTTTACTTTCTATCTATTGTATCTGAGGGCTAGATATCATCGTCCAAAACGGAGCCAGAACACATGTTTTGACAGGCGAGCGGATCTTCCAAATACAGCCACGGGGGTCATGTACCTTTTAAGTAGTTCCGGAGAAGAAATAGTTCCCTCTTTAAAAGGCTGTATCTCAGTTGTTCTTGGGTCTACGTTCAAAACAATTAGTGTTCTGGAATCGCCAGGACATCATCTACCATACATTTTGGGAGTTAACTACTCAGAAAAGCTGAAAACAAAAATAACTGCCAAACGGTACGTTTTAGCGACTTGACCCGTCTAGGCAAAATTGTTGGGTATTCGATTGTACACCAGTACAAGAAATTTGGAAGTGTCGGAACAATTAGTTCTTGATATATTTGCTGTCAAACGTTGAAATTTTGGAATTAATTTTGAATTATCGCCCCTTTGCTATTGGGCCAAGAGCCTAGAGATTTTTAAGGGAATATCTACACCTCGGTGCGCATCTGTGTGATTGTTTGTAAGTGATTCGGAGCATTGGTTTAGGAGTTATGTTTGGTACAAAAATCGGCGGAATAATAAATAATAATAATAATAATCCGAACGATTACAATAGTTCTCCTGCCTAGAGGCAAGGAGCCCTAATAATTCACTTGTATAGCGCCTAAATTCCAGGCCAGGCCTGCTCAACGGCGCTTTTGAGGAAAGCAGTGGAAAAGAGTTAATGGCTAAACAAAAATGTTTTTAGAGACATCTTGAAGGATTGAGTGAGTGAGTTTAGTTTTACGCCGCACTCAGCAATATTCCAGCTACATGACGGCGGTCTGTAAATAATCCAGTCTGGACCAGACAATCCAGTGATCAACAGCATGAGCATCGATCTGCGCAATTGGGAACTGATGACATGTGTCAACCAAGCCAGCGAGCCTGACCACCCAATCCCGTTAGTCGCCTCATACGACAAGCATGGGTTACTGAAGATCAATATTGTAACCCGGACCTTCACGGGTACTTGAAGGATTGAACAGAGTCCACAGATTTGACGTCCATTGGGATGGAGTTCCAGAGTCGAGGAGCATATACAGAGAAGGCATTTTCAGGGAGTTGTGTAGACGGGATGGAGAGTTGCTGCTTGATTGAGGATCTGAGAGTTCTTGTGGGCTGGTACAGATTAAGGAGGTACTGTGGTGAGGAGTCCATCCACATTAAGTGTCGAGTACGTGAGAAGAAGACGTTTAAATGTGATATGATGCTTAACAGGCAGCCAGTGGAGTTGCTTTATAATGGATGAGATGTGTTCAGTTGGGCGAGTACGGGTGATTATTCGCGATGCTTTGTTCTGGAGTCGTTGAAGGTGCGAGATGACAGTTGATCCGGACAAAAGGGAGATACCATAATCTATAATTCATGAGAGTTTTGCAAGTTTCCGTATCAATGTACTTGCGGATTTTGCCTATTTAACTGAGATGGTAATTTGAAGTTTGAGCGGCTTTGAGTGCCTGAGCTTTGCTGGACATCAAGCAGTCCATGATTACTCCAAGGTTCTTTACCCGCAGGGATTGATGGACAAGGACTGAATCCACTTTAATGCTCACAGGAGCGAGTTTTTATAACTGTTTCTGAGTACCAAAAACGATGAGGTCTGTCTTGTCACCATTCAATTTCAAGCAATGTGCACACATCCATTCGTGGACATCCATTTGTGATGAAGTGATTCATCGTTGTGACGGCACTTGACTCATCTGTCGGTTTTATGGTTATATACTACTACTGATCATCAGCATATCCATGGAACAGCAGTGAGTGACTCCTTAATATATGTCCCAGAGGCTGAATATATACTGAAAACAGTACCGGGCCCAAAACAGATTCTTGTGGGACGCCATGTTGGATTGATACTGCCCTTCGATTGACCTGCCCTTCGAACAGGGTTCCAGCCATCTTAAGGCCACATCGGTAATACCAAAGGTATGAAATAGACGTGACAGAAGAATGTCATGACTGATGGAATCAATGGCCGCTGAGAGGTCAAGCATGACAAGAAGTACGACTTCTTGCTTGTCCATATCTCCCAGTATATCGCTGTGAACACGTACTAATGCTGTTTCTGTTGAATAACCTTTCCGATAGGCAGATTGGTACACTTCTGACAAATTGTGATCAGTGATGTGAGACTGTAATTGAAAGGAAACAACTTTCTCCAAGACTTTAGAGATGAACATCAAATTAGAAACTGACGTTTAGAAAGCTTTTCAGGTCTGATGGAAGAATGTTTATTTTCTTTGGAACAGGTGTGATTATAGCCTTCTTGAATGAATCTGGAACACATCCACTTGAAAGTGATGTAAAGCAAATCACAGGTGGCAGTGATGATTGTGGATGAACAAGATTGGAACAGCCAGGATATGGTATAGGGTCAAGGGAACAAGTCTTACTTCTCATTGAAGTTCATTGACTGGCTTAAAGGCAGTAAGGTGTTAACCTGCAAATTCTCGCTCACCGGCCAAAAGGGCTGATGCCTGTTTGAACAGATGCAATGTCCGACACAGTGTTATTGACCTTCTCAGTGAAGAAATTGGCCAGCTTCTCCGCTTGAGACTGAGATTTCTCGCAGGATTTGTTTGGAACATTGCATTTGACGTCAGTCAAATTTCTTGCAATAGAGAAGAGATGCCTTGAGTTACCTTTACTGTTTTCCACCTGATCTTTTATGTGAGGCAATTTAACCTTTTTCAACAGAAAGTTGACGTTATTCCGGCATTTCTTAAAGATTTATCTATGGACCTCCAGTTTTCTTGCCCTCCATGACGTTTCGGCTTTCCGACGCTCATGCTTAGCCTTCAAGCTATCTTCTGTAATCCAGGGACACTTAAGACGGAGAACCACTGTTGCTGTTTTCTCTTAGGTTATCTTTTAGGATATTATAAAAAAGCGAGCTTTCATGTTAACGTCAGAATTTGTCTCATCAGAGCATGTTTCAGTACCATCTTTGTATTTGCCTTCAAGGTCATTTTGAAAATATTCCATATCAATTGATCTAGTTTTTATTGTAGATTTTCCGTCTCCGAATCGGGGAAGGTTTGTTTAATTTAAGCTAACAGAAAAGGCTGAAATGGTCAGAAATGTCATGATCGGAGTACCTCAATTGAAGACACAATGCCACTGTCCTCCTTGGTAATGATCAAGTCTAGTTTGTGGCCATTCCTATGGGTTGAGTCAGTTACATGTTGAACCAGTCCAGCAGAGAACAGAACATGTTTGAATGCATTGTCACTTGACCAACATGCTTTAATGTCATGTCACTTGACCGACATGCTTTAATGTTATGTCACTTGACCAACATGTTTTAATGTCATGTCACTTGACCAACATGTTTTAATATCATGTCACTTGACCAACATCTTTTAATGTATTGTCACTTGACCAGCATGTAATGTTACTTGGCAAATATGCTTTAATGTCATGTCCCTTGACCAACATGTTTTAATGTATTGTCACTTGACCAACATGTTTAATGTATTGTTACTTGACCAACATGTGTTAATGTATTGTCACTTGACCAACATGTTTGAATATCAAGTCATTTGGTGAGTATGTTTTAATGTCATGTCATTTCACCAGCATGTTTTAATATCATGTCATTTCACCAGCATGTTTTAATGTCATTTCTTTGACCAGATGTTTTATTGTCATGTAACATGACCAACACAATTTCACGTTATGCCACTTGACCAACATGTTTTAATGTCATGTCTTTTGATCAATATGTCTTAATGTAATGTTACTTGGCAAATATGCTTTAATGTCATGTCCCTTGACCAACATGTTTTAATGTATTGTCACTTGACCAACATGTTTTAATGTATTGTCACTTGACTAACATGTGTTAATGTATTGTCACTTGACCAAAATGTTTGAATATCAAGTCATTTGGTGAGTATGTTTTAATGTCATGTCATTTCACCAGCATGTTTTAATGTCATGTCATTTCACCAGCATGTTTTAATGTCATTTCTTTGACCAGATGTTTTAATGTCATGTTACATGACCAACACAATTTCACGTTATGCCACTTGACCAACATATTTTAGTGACATGTTACAAACATTTTCCATGCTATGTTATTTGTCCTGCATCTATTCATGTGACATCATTAAGTCATGAACAAGACTTAATCATGCCAGTCTAAAACACTTTAAAATTTAAAATGTGAAGTTGCTTAATATATGACTGACTGACTGACTGAGTTTGGTTTTACGCCGCTTTTACCAATATTCCAGCAACGCTTAATATATGACCATGAGTTTATATATTTGCCAACTCTTGGGCATTCCAGGTTAAAATTGGGTCCTGTGATTGTTATAAAAGGAACTCAAGTGATCTCATGTGACGTTGGCTATTATTATGTTTGTGTCTCATTTGATACTCCATTGGCCACAATAGCTGAACTGTTCATGATAGTGTGACAACTCAAGGAAACAAACATATTTAGCACTGACCTCAGAGTGAAGAAGGAGTCGACAGACACTGTAGAGTTGATAATGGCCTGGAACGTGAAGCGCTTTATGACATCCGGGAAGTAGCTGATGAAGTTGTCTGCAAACGATGTCAAACAGTCACACAATGATGATACTTGTGTAGAATATCAGCACCACATACTGATATTGGCAGTATGGAATGATATTGATGCGAAACTGGCATTACAGTGTTACATCGACTCTGGAATAATATCTATATAACTATGGATTGATATTGGCACCATTGAATAATATTTGCATTAGGGACGATACTGGCCCTGGATATTGAGTCTCCACTGGTTCCATTTGATCCATGAATCTTCAAATGTGGAGATGCCATACATTTTTATCTAGTGCCCAACACAAAAAAATGTGGTGACGACAGAACCAACTCTTATAACAAACATTGCTGAAACACTGAACTGGTTATTGGTTCATTGGTTTCCTATGTTACATATCCAGACTCACCTACACTCGACAGGCCAAAGAGCAAGGTGTGCCCCAGGATTACCCATGTCATGGAGAGGAAGCGGATACCGTTGATGGCGGTGAGACTTCCAGCTGACTGTTTGGTGCTCAGCAGCTTGGAGGCATTGGTGTACACAGAAAACGATAACAGGATCTTGCCACCAAGACCTACAAGGGCATGTGCATATGTGTATATATGTGTATACATAACAAGGACATGCTGTATATATCAAACCAAGCGTATATTCTGTTACCATTTACATATATGAAGACTTTTGATTGGTTCAAAACTATGATGGATGTTTTTGTGTTGATGGTTAGTTTTGTGTTGCAACAAGGGCATAGTTTGTGTTGCAACAAGGGCATAGTGTGTATATTCTAAGTCCTCCTGAACAGGGCCTCCTTTCACAAAGCACCAAAGTGATCGTAAGTCACTAATTAGGTAACCTTAGTGCAATGTTAAAGAATGGGAGTTAAGGTCAGCCTTAGTAAAGGTTGCTTCGTGAAAGGAGCCCCAGGTCAATAAGAATCGACCTTAGTAAAGACTGTCTTCTAATAATACATACTTGGTTGAGGCTGGCTAATCTCTGGTTTTCCTTTGTCGCCAATCAGGGGAGTTTTCTCCTCTTGTTTATGCTTGATGTTCAGTGCTGAGTAAGTGTCAGTTCCATTCAACAAACCATTTGCCTCAGCAGCCAACACGTACCAGCGTGGAAGCTGGATAATGACAATGTCATAGACTGTGCCAATCACCATTAGCGCAACAAACACCATTGCCACCACACTGGAAACAAAACAGTGAAACAAACTTAAGCTTATTACATAAGCAAGGAGAAATACATTTCTCTGGACCAGAATTCCTTCATGCCTTGGGGCCGCCTCCGTGGTGTAGTGGTTAGAGCGTCCGCCCGGAGAGCGGAAGGTCGCGGGTTCGATCCCCGACCGCGTCATACCAAAGGACGTTAAAATATGGTACTTGTTGGTCCTTGCCAGTGATCACACCCCACACCATTACGGAGTCACCCCTAAAACAATCGTTCTAATTACCAGCAGGGAAATGATCATTCCGCCTATACCACACTCTGTTAAACCTGTCAAGGAAGTTCAAAGCAAACCTCCATTCATCTGAAAACATACTGCTTGGTCCAACGCTTCTCTAAATATTAACAACGTCTTCCAGTAGTGTGATGGCCTAATTGTAGGATACCACGTAGGCATCAGGCATGAATCACTCTTTAAGTCTTACACATGTACCTCTGTCAAGCTCATCTCCAGTTTCAAAGGCACTTTGACCGAAGTTTCGTAACGCAGTCAATCTGATGAAACAGCCTTTTGTCATCAAACTGTTTTATGTCGTTGTTGTGATAGCAGTCAGTTACTGACTGAGATGTGTTAAGATCTTAAGCCACAATGTTCTGCCTTGTTCAAACTTTTAACATGCCAACTGCATGTGGTCCTACCTGACATTACACCGTTTAAAACATGCAAAACAATTTCAGTCTGTTTTCTTAAAAATGTACAAATGTCACTGTTAATTCCGAATTTTAGCCAGACGATGGTCACCTGACATCAAGAAATTCCTTGCTGAGATATTGTGTGTTTGTATGAATTTCAAAACATGCTGTGAATGGAATAATCATTTTCTAAATAACGACACAGTCATACAACTTGGTTCCCAAATAATAACCCCCACCCCCCAATGGAACATACCCTACCTTTATTTAATCGTATAGCTTACAATTCCAGAAATATTTTGTTTGACATTGATACAGAGGTCCTCCTGGTACCTTCATGTTCATCTCAAGACCTTTACATCATCCCTCGGGAGAGAAAGATGCAGGTAAGTCACGGGTGTACTCAGATCAACTCACAAGACAGCGATGGCTTTAGTGTCCCACTCCAGGTTCTCCTCCTGGCACACGGAGCGCTTGACCTTGAACTGTGTGGTGATGTTCAGCTGCTCAAGCACCAGATCCAACACTGCAGGAAGACAAATATAACAGGAACCTGCTCAAACACTTCCGTGAGACCAACATATCAAGCACCTGCTCCAACACTACAGTGAGACCAACATAACAAGCACCTGCTCCAACACTACAGTGAGACAAACATAACAAGCACCTGCTCCAACACTGCAAGGAGACAAACATTACCATCACCTGCTCCAATACTACAGGGAGATAAACATAACAAGCAACTGTTCCAACACTGCAGGAAGACAAATATAACAAGCACCTGCTCCAACACTGCAGGGAGACAAATATAACAAGCACCTGCTCCAACACTGCAGGGAGACAAACATAACAAGCACCTGCTCCAACACTGCAGGGAGACAAACATTACCACCACCTGCTCCAATACTACAGGGAGACAAACATAACAAGCAACTGTTCCAACACTGCAGGAAGACAAACATAACACGCACCTGCTCTAACACTACAGTGACACAAACATAGAATCCACCCGCTCCAACACCACTGGTATAGCATGCACCTGCTCCAACAATACACTGAGTGAAACAAAACAAGCACCTGCTTCACACTGCTGGAAAAGAATATATTCAGAAAATCTTTGTTTCCTAATACTCATAACAGAATTTTAAAAAAGGTGTTACACTATGTAGTAAGGTACACAATATGGCAGGCAACAATTGTAGGCTTAAGAATGAACCTTACTACATCAAGAGTTATCTCCCCTGGTGTAGCAGACGACTTCCTTTGTTGACATGGCAGATTTGACAGCAGACGAGAAAGGAAAGCTGATTCCAGATGATTTTGAAAAGGGTGTGACTACTGCAAAAGAGTAAGCTGGTAGATATGACAGAACTTTGAAAAGAGTTGAGAATATCACAAATGAGATGATTAACAGGGGAAGACCTCAGGTATGTAATGAAACCCTTAGACAAGAATTACAAACACTTACCTGGGTGAAAAAGCGCGGAATTCCCTCACCATTGATGAATGATGCACAAAAAGAAAGACGGTTTAACTGGTACAGAGCTCACGAAATTCAAGATTAGTTTAATGTTGTTGTTTCTAAGGAAAGTTTCCTCTGGCTTTCTCCGAACTATGTGACACTTTGGACAAACAATACCGTGGAAACTATCTACAAACGCCCAAAACATAGACCACAATTTCACATGTGGGGTGGGATATCATTACATGGTGATATTTTCACCGGAGATTTGACAAAGAAACGATATGTTGACATCTAAAATGATGACATATTTCAAAAGGCCCGAACAGTGTATGACGATAATTGGATTTTCAAGCATGATAACGACCCTCAACTCACTGTAGGCTACACAAAACAGTGGTTGTCGGACGAAAATGTTCAAGTTTTAGACTGACCCAGCTACATCCCAGGTCTTAACCCTATAAAGAATGTGTGGGGACTAATGAAGGACAGAATAAACCTAAAAGGACTTAGAAATGTTGAGGATATGAAGAAATAAGTGGTCGAATATTGTGATACGCTGTCACATGATTTCCTACAAACTATGATCGGTAGTGTACCGAGGCGCATTATATATAAATGGACTTGTAACAGCCATGTATAGATCATGTACAAGTGGAATATTCGTCACCCAAGATATTGAAAACTTGATGCTCCTACTTTTTGCGGATGACGTTGTGTTATTTTCGTTTACCATCATCGGCTTACAGAGACAGCTTAACACATTGGAATCCTACTGCTCAGAATCAGGATTACAACTGAATTTTAATAAATCCAAGATTATAGTTATTAGAAATGGTGGAAAACTAGCACAGAATGAAAAATGGACTTATAAAGGACTGCCTATCGAAACCGTCACCTATTACAAGTACCTTGGACTTATCTTCTCATCACGACTGGTATCGACAAAAGCATGTGACACTCTCGCACAGCAAGCTAGTAAGGCATGCCTCGCAATAAATAGATTCCTACAGAAAAATAAAGAAATAACGTCTTCAACTGCATGTACGATATTCGACACTAAAGTTTTACCAATACTCCTCTATGGAGCAGAAGTGTGGGGATGCAAGTATTCAGCTTCAATTGAAAAAGTTCAGTCAAACTACTTAAACACCTTCTCAAAGTTGGAAAATTTGCTTCAAACAAGGCAATTCTTGGGGACACTGGAAGATATTTGATTTATATATCAACAGTAAAGTAAGGGCCATCAAGTACTGGATAAAACTTCTACGAATGACAACCGATCGCCACGCACACCAGTGTTACCGAATGCTTAAATCACTCGATGAGAAAAAGAAACTGGACTTCTGATATTAGAGAAACATTGTTCAAGATAGGATTCTCACATGTAGGATCGCACAGGATGTCGGAGATGTAAATAATTTCTTATCATGTTTAAAACAGCGCCTCAAAGATATATCACACCAACACTATCATCATGAGATAAACAGTTCAAGTTTCCTTACCCACTACGCTTCATTCAAGTTTTCACTGGAAAGAGAATCATATATCACGAACATCAGGAACAAACAACTAATAAGAGTCTACATCAAATTTATAGCTTCGCTAACAAACTTCAAGATAAACAAGCTAAGAACCAATAAAGATACAACGGCAATCAACCCCATCTGTGAACTTTGTAATCATAACCTTAATGAAGATGAGAACCATGTATTGTTTGTGACAAGTATAATCAAGCCAGAACTCTATATCTACAGAAGCTACAATCAGTCTACAGAGGCCCACTAACCATTCAGGCACTTTTCATGTCACAAAATAGTAATGTACAGCATCTAACAGCTATCTATCTCAATGAGATATTCAAAATAAGATCAATATGAAACTCAAATGTTTAGGATCACGTGTAATTTAAATTGTATTTGTCAACTGTATCATAGGCCTTATGGCCCAAATACTACTGAATAAACTTCTCAGTTCTCAGTTCTAGGCGCGTTCAGTTGTGTATTGAAAGGCAGGGATGTCTCATAAAGTACAGAAAAGACACTTAGGCTGTAAGAGAATCATACCTCAACATATTCATTTAAGTAAAACTTCTATAGTTTATATACATGTATTAGATATTTGCCGAAACAACTTTCTCAACAATTTCTGGGAATAATATATAACAAGCACCCACTCCAACACTAGAGGCAGAGGTTCCAATTCATCGATAGATCTGCCTGTCTAAGCCTACCAATACCCTACTCATCATTGGTTATAGTTGAATAAAGACAAAACAAGGTATGACGCTCAACAATCCTCTGACAGTTGGAGACTTAAAATTAAAAGCTAAACATTTAAACAGCCTGGCTAAATGTAGATATACTTACTGTCATTGAGAATCAATGTTACATCCTCGCCACTACAGGAGTCGGGGAAGCAAAGTCCAATGGTGATGTCAGAGAATGATGGAGTATTTGCAGCTGGAGCTGGACTCTGTTAAATAACACATTGATGGGATTGGTCCTTGGCACTGAAGCTAACATGCATTACGATGACGTTATGTTTGTTTGCTTATTTAACCCTGGCAATAATCCAGCTATACGTTGGCGGTCTGAAAATAATCGAGTCTGGACGAGACAATCCAGTGATCAGTATCATGAGCATCGATCTACGCAATTTGGATACGATGAATGAGTCAACCAAGTCAGCGAGCCTGACCATCCGATACCGCCAGTGCTGAGGACCAATTGTAACCATGATCTTCACGGGTTTAGGAAGACGTACTGATGCAGATGTTATGTAAAATACACAATCCACACTAGGTTTAATTATTGACAATCGGGCATATTTGTTGTATATTCTACTACTCTAAACCTGAACGTGTATTAAAAAAGGGAGTTTATGTTTCCTTATCACAGGTGAGGACCAGTGTTCTGGATTAAGTTTGAAAGTCAATGTATCTATTCATAACCTTAACGCTGAACAGATTATATTACCCAAACAAATGAAATATCCATGCATGTATACTGTATATTTTATGTTCCCTTAATTAATAGCAAGAGACGGTAAGGCTGACTATTGACATAGATCATAGAGGTGAATAGTTGTTGACTAAATATCAATCGATTGTCCATGAATATCGGAGACATAATTTTGACCAAAGGTGACAAATATATCCGAAATAAATCAGCATATTTCACATCGCTTGTGACTTTTAACAATTTGTTCTCACTTGGGAACTGGGCTGAAGAGGGATGCTGGCTCTGCAGTATTTCCCATTGAAGATCGGTTCTGTGACATTGTTGATTGTCTCCGTGGCTTTGACCCCCAAACACTCATCGTATGATCCCAAGAAGTTGAGGTTCAACTCAAGTAGTCTACTGCCTGGCTTCCCTGCTGCATCAATCACTGGGGATAGAGAGAGCCTATGTGTTACCATGGTTACCATCCCAACACTCAGAGTATAGAGAGAGCATACATGTTACCATAGTTACCTATGAGAAGACATGTTTCACAATGGTGGGAGAGAGAGAATACACATTAATATGGTTAGTAATTGGCTACCATCACAACACCCAGGATGGAGAGAGCATACATGTTACCATGGTTACCTATGAGAAGAAATGTTTCACAATGATGGGAGAGAGAGAATACACATTAATATGGTTAGTAATTGGTTACCTTCCTAGAAGTAGGTAAGAACAATACATACATGTTACGAAGGTTGCAACCATAAAAATAGATACATTTCACACCCAGGATGAATATAGCATATATTTCACAATGGTTACCACTCTCAGAAGTAGTATCAGCCCACTTGGAGGGCAGATCGTTCATACGTTACCATGTCTACCGCCCTTGCAGAAATCATGACTGAAACTGGTGGCAGAAGAATACATGTTACCATGTTACACTTTGGGTAGAGGGAGCACCATTCACGTTCACGTTTTTACCACTTAATAAGTTAAATGTGTGTGTGTGTGTGTGTGTGTTGTTTTGTTTGTTTTTTGTTTGTTTTTGTGTGTGTGTGTGTGTACGCGCTTGTGTGTACGAGCGTGTGTGTTGAGGTGGAATGTGCATACATGTTTCATGTCCATCTACCTACCAAAGTGAAAAAAAATGTGACATACGATGTTCCTTTTAAGAAATAAAAATGTTCAACCTGTTAAAACTATAGTTAAGAAGATCCACGATGTTTTAGAAGCGTGTCCATGATGTGTCTGAATTTTTTTCAGAATGTTTCAGAGAAACTGTTGACACAGAATTGATGATCACATTTTACCCGTCGTAGGTGATCGAAACCTGATCCATACATGTATGCGCATTTGTAACTTTTCACTTATAAAGAATGGCAACTTTGTTCCCACATTAAAGTTTAAATCAACTCGCCTCTTTCGTCTGTTCATTGTCTCAACGTCTTCTCCCACAATATCTTGTTATGGCTGCAAGGTGTCGCTTATTACTCCTCGTATCACAATCATGATATAATAAGTTTAAATTTGAAATATTTCTTTGAATCCTATATGTCACTGTAATAATACTGCACGTTATTGGGAGATGAATGGGTGAATATTTCATGAGATAATACATTGTGAAAAGTGAAAGAAGATTTTATCATTTAGAAAGGTGTCTTTGAGAGAACTGTAGAATCCTAAATAAAAATGGTTGTTTTTCAATTTCCTGTTTACTGTTGTAGGCCAACATTGTATGAATGCTCATTATGTGTGTTTCAAATAGCTGTCAAGGAGACTCACAATATTCAGTTCAAATATAAGGAAGATTGAGACATACATAAATCCAAATCACTGATGATATCTCTGAATTTGATGTCCTATATTTTGCTGAAACACATTTAGATCCATCTGTAAATCACTGGATCTACTGACAGCTATAGTCTGTTTGGATCAAAATGATACCGATGAATCACAATCTCCAAATCGGTTCATGATCAAACATTCATTTCAACGCAATGCTTCCCGCCCTTGAGGCTGTTCCTGTAACAGTACTACTGTTACTTTACCCTCGTAAAGCTTCATACGGAAAATCAAAACAAAAAGATGATAGTTTTTTAAGTGACTTGTTGACATGAACCGATTTGGAGTTAGATTGTGATTCCTCGGTATCATTTTGACCCAGACAGACTACAGTGATTGTTCTACAGTACGAAGAGGTGGGGACTGTATCTGGAGGTGGCTTCAGTGGTCATCATTTTTACGATCGTTTTAAGTAGACCAAAAATTAGGATTACACAGATAAGAAATAATGAGGTTTCATACATGTTAACTTCAACAGTTCACTTATATATGTGAGTGCCCTCGCACAGAACACTAAAGTCTAAATCACCGGTGAAGCGCACTAACCTAATCACACTAATTGATACGTACGCTTCACCCAATGATGCAATAACGAACCCTCATGGTATCATGTGAGTTATCTCCCACCGGCCAATCTCATATCATATTGGGATTATCCTTCAACAGAAACAGTCCAAATGTTTTATACAAGTGTTGTACAAGTTGTAGACATAAAAGATTTGTTGTATATCATTATACACCATGATATTATGGAGAGCAAATATTTACATGATATCATTTAACAGCCGATGGATAATACATAACCCTTAGCCACACTTACTGACCCTGGTGTTAAAAGCTGGGACAGTAATCCAATGAAAGCCTGTGCCTTTCACTTTAGCTTTGATATCAGTGACCACAAGGGACTTTTTTGTTACTCTTTTCCATTGTATCAACTTTCAAAGTCTGAAGTAAGCGTGTCTAACTATAAAATCTAGGTGATTATAAGTGTCAAAACCAGCCTATTGCTCCTACAGCTGGGAAGAAAGGTTTGACTCATGCAATAGCACTCTTGAGTCACTATGGACCGCCTCCATGGTGTAGTGGTTAGAACGTCCGCCCGGAGAGGGGGAAGGTCGCGGGTTCGATCCTCAACCGCGTCATACCAAAAGACGTTAAAATATGGTACTTGTTGGTCCCTGCCTGGCGCTCGGCATTAATGGGTACAACAAGGACTGGTCGATTCGGAGTCAGTATAATGTGTCTGGGTGGGGTATTCATGCTTCACTGCGGCATGGTATCTCAGTGAGCTAGCACTAAAAAACCAGCTTCAGTCTGGGCTAGTACAAGCAGACGCACATACACATACACACGCATGCACGTCGTCATATGAGCGAAATATTCTCAAGCACGACGTTAAACCCAAGTTCACCTCACCTCACCTTGAGTCACTATGTGGAATAGTGTGTCACCTCGACATAAGATATGATAAGATTAACGGATAAACCCTCATTTAACAGTGATGTTCAACTGTTGATTTGGATTAGCGACACACACAAACATAAGGTACAATTATCCCTGCCCTTATGGATAATAATAAAATCTGTCTAATCTAAAATGTCAATATAAAAATGTTAGGTAAAAAAACTCTCTCGCTCACTCACTAACTCACTCACTCACTCACTCACTCACTCACTCATTCAGTCAATCAATATGCTATAGAGCTCAAAATGAGCCGATTTCTGTTAAATGTTTATATGTACTTTTTTTGATTACACAACATATTTTCACACATTATACTTACTCTGTAATGCCCATTGTTCGCCAGCCAGCAAAGCTTCCAATACCTTGGCAGTTTGGTCCGAGCACTTTGTGGAGATGTTACCGTTAGCTCCCACGGCCTGGGGGTCTGTCAGTAGCCCACCCTGGGGACGCAGCACATGGGAATCCTGAATCATTCTGGCAACTTGGGTAATATCTGCCCGTCTCAGGGTCTCCATTGACTCCTTCACCCCCGAGGATAGATCAGGGAGGGGATGTAGACCCCGGGTCAGCATGCTCACATAGTCACTGATACCCCCAACACCACAACCACACAACAACATCACATACAACACGATGATTATGTTTGTCAATTTCATTCTGTACGTACAAAACAACTAGCAACACTATCCACGGTGATCAACGCGATCAGAAATCACAAACACGAACAATGGCTATCTGCAAGAAATCCTGACACTGTCCAGGTATGTTGACAATCCCCCCTGTTCGTCTATGTGTGATGTAGTTATGTTTGGTCTAAGTAAGTACACCTGACCTCAAACCACCGTGACATGCTAAAGCAACGCTGACTAGTCTTTCATCACCGAGGGGAGGTCGTCATTCGGAGGGGCTACACCGAGGTCCGCGCGTCTTGCCATGCAGTTAACTCAAGGAGTCATGATTTGTGGTGGGGGTAGTACTGGCGGTGGGTGGAGGCGGTATGTGTGGTGGGGGTAGTACTGAGGGTGGGTGGAGGCGGTATGTGTGGTGAGGGTAGACTTGACGGTGCGTGGAGGTGGTATTTGTGGTGGAGTTAGTACTGACGGTGAGTGGAGGCGGTATGTGTGTGTGGTGGGGGGGTACTGACGGTGGGTGGAGGCGGTATGTGTGGTGGGGGTAATACTGACGGTGAGTGGAGGCGGTATGTGGTGTGTGGGGTAGTACTGACGGTGGGTGGAGGCGGTGTGTGTGGGGGTAGTACTGACGGTGGGTGGAGGCGGTATGTGTGTGTGTGGGGGGGTAGTACTGACGGCGGGTGGAGGCCGTACGTGTGTTGGGGGGTAGTACTGACGGCGGGTGGAGGCGGTATGTGTTTCGGGGGGAGGTAGTACTGGCGGTTGGTGGAGGCGGTATGTCGGGTGGGGTAGTACTGACGGTGGGTGGAGGCAGTATTTGTGGTGGGGTAGTACTGACGGTGCATGGAGGCAATATTTGTGGTAGGGGTTGTACTGATGGTGGGTGGAGGCGGTATTTGTGGTGGGGGTAGTACTGACGGTGGGTGGAGGCGGTATTTGTGGTGGGGTAGTACTGACGGTGGGTGGAGGCAGTATTGTTGGTGGGCGTAGTACTTTCGATGGATGGATGGTGGTGGGGTAGTACTGACGGTAGATGGGGGCGGTATTTGTGGTTGGGGTATAGTACTAATGACGGTTGGGGTATAGTACTACTGACGGTGGACGGTGGGTGGGTGGTGTAGTATTTGGATGGTATTTGTGGTAGGGGTATTACTGACGGTGGATGGGGGCGGTATTGGTGGTGGGGTAGTACTGACGGTGGATGGGGGCGGTATTTGTGGTGGGTGTAGTACTGACGGTGGGTGGAGGCGGTATTTGTGGTAGGGGTAGTATTGTCTGCACGTTGGTGGAGAAATAACGAAGATAAAAACCTCCCGTTTCAATTTGACCTATATTCAATTGACAATGTACAATGACCTATAGATCACGATTGCACAACTCCAATTCAACTGATATAGAGAGTTCAGAAACTGGGACTCATTCGGGTCATTCTTCTGCCCTGGGTTCTATACATTCACGGGTATCCAAGGACCTCCGTTACACAAGCCAGCTACAGACTCGTCACTTCTTTTTACAGTGCGAGTCCCTACTCCACCACCTCAGATATTCCCATACAGTGAGTGAGTGAGTGAGTTAATATTTAACGTCACATCGGCAATATTGCAGCCATATCGTGACGAAAACAAGCCATACAATAAAAAGTAGAAACATTTTGAAGATTAAAACCTGTCGACGATGGACAGTAAACAGACTAGAAAATCACAGGTATAAATATAAAAACTAGCGCAAAGTTAAAATATTCCAATTAAAGAAGACAATACAATATAAAATACGGGCTATAGATCGCCAACAACCGAAGGTAGATCACCATACTAAGGCCCATGGGGACTTACATTACTTTTGCTTCCTGCATGGGCCCTAGCTGGATTTACACCATCCCTTCAGCCATTGGCGTTGATGCTCAGATTTAGCCATACAGTAAAAACACAAAAATACTACGATTAAAAACCTGGTACACTTAAATTGACTGGAAATGTTTTGGGACTTACGTACCCTCTCAGGAGGACAATAATTTTACGCTACTTCAACCCCCTTTGAGGGTATTCCCATACACGGCTGTTTGACTTATCAATGTATAAGGTGGTATAACGTACGACCCCGGTGTTCCCCCAACAAACAAATATGTTTAGTAATAATATATTTGTGACACCAACACTGTTTATACTTTAGAAAATGACTCAGGATTGTTTTCGTACTTAAAACACACAACATGAGTTCAGACCGCCGGCTTCATCATATATATAAATGGAATATGAGTGCGTCGTTAACCAACTAACAAAATACTGTAGATATTGCATAAGGATATTTTGCATCGAAATATGGAGAATTGACCAGGCCGATTGTCATTCAGTGCCCATTCAAATCCCACATATGTTTATATAATGGCGTATATTCATTACAGGCGAATTCTACGTTTTGCAGTGCGAATGGTTTTGCCCTGCTCCCGGCAACAAGCTGGTTGTATCGCGGCGGGGGACAATAGAGGCCGGGTTTAACCATCCTATGACTCCATGTTGGGAATCGAACCTGCAGTTTCGACGAGTCAAACGATCACTTTGATCACTTGGCTACACAACGACTGCTTTCATGGCTTTGATTGATCAGTCTAAGACTCACTTCAAGCGCCTGTTTTTATATTGTATAGTCTTCTATTGTTAAAATATTTTAAATTTAAGTACTGCTTTTAGATTTCTATCTGTGATAATCTAGTTGTTTTACTGTCCTTCGTTGACAGGTATTTACAATTTCCCTTTAATAATTTTAATCTGTAACTTGATTTAGTCACGATATGGCTGAAATATTGCCAAAGTGACTTTAAATTTTAACTCACTCACTCACTCACTTCAAGCAGCATGTTTAACTGTTAGATGTTTGCGTCCTCTCGATTTTCCCGGCAGTGGGAATACTTGGAAAACAGAAAAACACGAACCCAAATGTCAACCCTGACTAGTCCTCAACAATATGTCATTGCTTGTGATGAGAGGTGACTAAATGTGGATTTGTGGCCAGGCACGTCGATTTATTATTAGGAGAGACCGTACCTCGACAATGTGGGATGTTGCTCGTATAATATCCACTACTGTTTGGTTTGGGGGGTTTGTTGTTGTTGTTTTTTCTTTTATGAAGCCGAATTGTTTTAGGCCAACGTGACACACCTGTTATACTGCTGAATGTGGCGGAAAAAAACAATCACTGAAAACAAAATTGTCACAATTTATTTACTTTTTGGTTTCGACTCAATCACATCCCAGCTCACCCTCCAACGGTGAAGATCTGGGTTAGAATTGGTCTTAAGCAACCCATGCTTGTCGTAAGAGATCAAGCTCGCTGACTTGGTTGACACATGTCATCGTGTCCCTATTGCGTAGATCGATGCTCATGCTGTTGATCACTAGGTTGTCTGGTAGAGACGAGATTATTCACAACAGCCGTCCTGTTGCTGGAATGTTGCTGGTATATTGCTGAGTGCGGCGTTAAACAACAGACAAACAAACACAACTCACCCCACCCGCCACCACCATCTCTATATATGGTTCAATATCCGAACATGAATATTTAAGTCCTCTATGTTATTTTTGTTATTTATGTTTAAGTTGACGAGTTGATTGTTTGTGTAACCTGTTCTTCTTTAATTCCCCACATGGGTGCAAAGTGTGAAGAATATTTCTGGTGTCTCCCTGCCGTGATATTGTTGGAATATTTCTAAAAGCGCCCTAAAACCATACTCACTCACTCACTCACTCACTCTTCTTTGAAATCGAAAGCACTTCACATGCAGCCACATGCAAGTTCACTATCTATAACCTTTCTACCTGAGTAAAATATACAGTCTTGTTGATAATACAGATATATGCCTGCTGGACAAGCTTGTCCTACTATATCACTTGACGAACCTGACCTGTGCCTTGTAACCAGTATACAGGCTGTTACATGATCTAGATATATCTCTGCCAGACAGACTAGATTTGCAACACGACTTGACGAACCTGACCTGTGCCTTGTAACCAGTATACAGGCTGTTACATAATCTAGATATATCTCTGCCAGACAGACTAGATTTGCAACACGACTTGACGAACCTGACCTGTGCCTTGTAACCAGTATGCAGGCTGTTACATAATCTAGATATATCTCTGCCAGACAGACTAGATTTGCAACACGACTTGACGAACCTGACCTGTGCCTTGTAACCAGTATGCAGACTGTTACATAATCTAGATATATCTCTGCCAGACAGACTAGATTTGCAACACACGACTTGACGAACCTGACCTGTGCCTTGTAACCAGTATGCAGGCTGTTACATAATCTAGATATATCTCTGCCAGACAGACTAGATTTGCAACACGACTTGACGAACCTGACCTGTGCCTTGTAACCAGTATACAGGCTGTTACATAATCTAGATATATCTCTGCCAGACAGACTAGATTTGCAACACGACTTGACGAACCTGACCTGTGCCTTGTAACCAGTATGCAGGCTGTTAGATAATCTAGATATATCTCTGCCAGACAGACTAGATTTGCAGCACGACTTGACGAACCTGACCTGTGCCTTGTAACCAGTATACAGGCTGTTACATAATCTAGATATATCTCTGCCAGACAGACTAGATTTGCAACACGACTTGACGAACCTGACCTGTGCCTTGTAACCAGTATACAGGCTGTTACATAATCTAGATATATCTCTGCCAGACAGACTAGATTTGCAACACGACTTGACGAACCTGACCTGTGCCTTGTAAACTGTGTACAGTCTGGCGGATAACACAGATCTGCCCTAGCTAGACAGACTGAACGTGCAACACGACTTGTTGAACTTCAGCTGTGTATTGGACACTGTATTCAGTTGGATAACACAGATTTATCCAGTTAGACGGACTAGGTGAGCTATATTACGTAACGAACATGACCTGTGTGTTGTACACTGTATTCAGTTGGATAACACAGATCTATCCAGTTAGACGGACTAGGTGAGCTATATTACGTAACGAACATGACCTGTGTGTTGTACACTGTATTCGGTTGGATAACACAGATCTATCCAGTTAGACGGACTAGGTGAGCTATATTACGTATCGAACATGACCTGTGTGTTGTACACTGTATACAGTTGGATAACACAGATCTATCCCAGCTAGACGGACTAGGCGAGCTATATTAC